ATAGGTGTGGTCACAATCAATAGGGGTAGAGTTCTTTCTCTCAGGGAAAGCCCCTTCTAGGAAAGATTCTCATTTAGCAGATCCCACCCTAGAACAGAATCCCCTGGGTGTGTTTCTCCTCTCCTTGTCCAACAAACATATAAGCATACATAATATAAATCATTTTGTATGGACACAATAAAAAATACCTTAAGATTATAGAATTGCTCTCCTAGGGCCATCTCGATCTCAGACTACAGTGCTCAGGCCAGATAGTCTTTTGTATCCCTTAGCAGGGTCCTAGGCTCGTCGTTACCTTTGGATCATGACAGCATTTGTCTATGAACAAACTCTTAACTTATAGTTAAGAATCATGGCACTTTGGCCTGACCCATCTCGATGCCAGGGTAACACATAGCTTGTCCTGGGTCCATTCAGTCCCTCGTTGGGACCCTGTTTTTGGGGTGCTAGGAACTAAGGGCAACTGAAGCTTAAAGCCGAGAAAGCAGATACCTGGGAATGAATAATATTCAAAGACAATTAAATCCTAAGCTACAAAGCGTAATATTAACTGTCTTCCTGTATCTATACAAAAAGGACATTGAATTAAACTATTCAAAAGACATGAGGAGAGGAGAAAGGCAATATTAACTTACAATACAAGTTCAGTGTCCTAGAAGGTTCTGACCTTACAAATTAACAGATTCTGATTAGGGGAAAAGCTGATTAACTGGTTGGGGAAGAGAGCATAGAGAAGTGGTTACAGATAAACAAAGGAATGGGAGTGACTCGGGAGCACTATAATGGGTGTAACCCGACTAACTTAAGCTCCTTGAGGCAAGGGAGAAAGGGCAAATCAATTGTTATCCTACAACAAGCAAGCACTGTCTGTAGCACTGTCATCCCATTGTTCATCGATTTGCTCGAGCAGGCCCAGTAACATCTACATTGTGAGACTTGTTGTTACCGTGTTTGGTATATTGAATATGTCCCAGGTAGCTTGCCAGGCTTTGCCGTGTGGGTGAGATACTCTCGGTAGCTTGTCAAGCTCTCCGAGAGGGGCGAAAGAAATGAACCCGGCTCGGCTGGGGCCGGCTGCTTGCAAGGCAAACGCCCTACTGCTGTGCTATTGCTCCTATGAAATAAATTATTTATGGCTTGCTACTGGAGTAGGCTTGGGTGTTGGTGAAGAAAATTTGAAATATTGGTGGTGCGAAATATTGATGCCATTAAGATATAATGGCAGTGGGATTGGTGTTGGAATATTGAATGTAATAAATTATTGTGTAGCGCGCGTGCAGCCCCGGACATCTAAGGGCATCACAGACCTGTTATTGCTCAATCTCGGGTGGCTGAACGCCACTTGTCCCTCTAAGAAGTTGCCATGTCCACTTGCCAACATACCAAATTCCACAGGATGGGTATGTTGTTCCCAACGTTCTCCCCTCTGAAATCCGACACGCCATTTCGTCGGTTAAGAAACAAACAGCACCCGGCCCAGACAAGGTCAGACCTGAACACCTGAAGAACCTGCCGTCAGTACTCATCAATACACTGGCTCGGCTCTTCACTCGCTACCTGTCTGAATGCAAGGTTCCGTCCCAATGGAAAACCAGCAGGACCATACTACTGTTCAAGAAGGGAGACATCCATGACATTGGCAACTATCGCCCGATCTGCCTATTGTCTGTCATCTACAAGTTGTTCACTCGAGTCATCCTGAATAGGATTGGCAGAACATTAGATGAAGGACAACCATGCGAGCAAGCCGGGTTCCGCAAAGGATTCAGCACCATCGACCATATCCACACAATAACCAAGCTCATTGAGGTTTCTCGGGAGTTCAAGATGCCGCTCTGCTTAACGTTCATTGATTTAAAGAAGGCCTTTGATTCTGTTGAGACGGAAGCGGTCATTGAAGCCCTAGCCAATCAGGGCATTCAAGCCCAATACATCAGGATCCTCCGTGAGCTGTATTGCGGATTCACTACCAGGATCTCACCATTCTACAAAGAAGTGATCGTTGATGTCAAGAGAGGGGTGCGGCAGGGTGATACCATTTCACCGAAACTCTTCAGTGCCACCCTCGAGAACATCATGCGACGACTGGAATGGGAAGGAATGGGAGTGAAGATAGATGGTCGGCAATTATACCACCTCCGCTTTGCTGATGATATTGTTTTAATAACACCAAACATCAGCCAAGCGGCACAAATGTTGGCCGACTTTGACCGTGAGTGTGAAAAGGTAGGACTACAGCTGAATCTTACGAAGACAATGTTTATGAGAAACAGCCTTGTTCCTGACGCCCCATTCGCTCTCAATGGAACGACCATCTCCGAATGCAACAGCTATGTCTACCTAGGTCGAGAGGTCAACATGACAAATGACCTGGCACCCGAGCTGCGCAGGAGGAAGAGAGCGGCTTGGAACGCCTTCAAGAACGTCGAAGAAATAGCTAAGAGGACGAAGAACCTCCGGCTCCGGGCACATCTCTTTGATTCCACTGTTCTTCCTGCATTAACATATGCCTCAGAGACCTGGGCCCTACGCAAACAAGATGAGAACGCCATTCAGGTCTCCCAAAGAAGAATAGAAAGAGCTATGCTTGGAATATCACGTTTCACTCAAATGAGAGAACGAATCCGGAGTTCTGACATCCGTCGACGATCAAGGATCAGGGACGCTGTCTCATTTGCCAAGGTGTCGAAAATCAGATGGGCTGGTCACGTAATGAGATTTAAAGACGACCGTTGGACTAGAGCTGTTACTGATTGGATTCCACGGGATGTCGAGACCGCGTGGCCGCCCACCTACCAGATGGTCAGACTTCTTCCTGAAGATCATGAACGATCGGTTTGAGGCCCTTCATGTTCCCGGAGCGAACAGATGCCATTGGGCTACACTAGCACGCGACAGGGACAAATGGAGACGTTACTGACGCCCGCTCGAGCAAACCGACGACTAACGGGAAGTTAAGTGATTAAGTGATTAAGTGAAATTATTGTGAATAACTTTATAAAAATAAAATGAAAATGAAAACAACAACAAAAATGGAGGGGCTGGAGAGAGAGAAGTGGAAGTTAAGGCAGATGTCTTGCATGTAGTTGAGCCCCACTGACCCCAGACACAACAAGGTGGTCCTTCCTCTCTCTCAGTACCACCAGGATGCCTAGGATAACCCCCAAGTCCTTGGGCCCTTGCACTGAACCATGACCTTTTGGCTGAGAATCTCTGGGAGGGGCCCGAGAGCCTCCTGAGCACTGCTTGGGAATCCTTTGCAACAAAAAAGAAAGAAAACACAAATGACATATGATCCAGCAATGCCACTTCTAGACATTTATTCAAGGGATATGAAATACCAATTTGAACAGCTATCAAAACCCCTATTTTCAATTCAACATTTTTCATAATAGTCCAAACATAGGCTCAATGTAAATATTTGCCAGTAGATGACATAATAAAGAAATTATTATATATATGTTCATAGGAATATGTGTGTATGTGTGTGTGTTCAAAAGAATACTACTCAGCCATTAAAAAAGATGAAATTGTCCCTTCTGGTACAAAATGGATATGGGTGATTATGCAAAATGAAATAAAAAAGGAAGTGAAAGACACTTGTCAGATTTGCTCCATCTGGAACAAAGCACATGTGGAATCTATAAATTAATTTACTAAAGTAAATGAACTGGCAAGAAACAACAAAGCTGACTCCTAGCCTTTATCAATACCAGGCTGGTTACCACTAAGAAAGTAGCTGAGAGAAGTAAAGAGAGGGATAGTTTTGGTCATGGGATGGCACTGACATTCAATGATGAGTAATGATAATTACATACATACAAAGGCTTGAAAAAAAACCTAAAATTCCCTAATATTGCAAGTCAATTATAAATCAATGAAAAATCAAAAATAAAAATATTTTAAATAGATTCACCATATATTCCAGTAAGGCCACTACTGGCCAAAAGGATTCAATACTAATTAAAAAAAGATACATGCACATCTATCTATGTTTACTGCAGTACTCTCTACAATAACCAAGATATGAAAACAACCCAAGTGTTCAATGACAGATGAATGGATAAAGATGTGGCAGATATGCACAATGAAATGCTACTCAGCTATCAGAAAAGATGAAATCTTGTCTCTTGCAACAACATAACTGAAATTCATGAGAGTGAAGCTAAACAAAAAAGTCAGAAGGAAAAAGGCAAATATCAGGTGAACCCCGTTATATGTGGGATTCAGAGAAACAAAGGAAAACATATCCTTGTACTTTGACCACAGAACTGTAGCATGTAGCACTGTCCTCCCACTGTTCATTGATTTGCTTGAGTGGGCACCAGTAACGTCTCCTTTGTGAGACTTGATGTTACTGTTTTTGGCATATCCAGTAGGCCATGGGGAGCTTGCCAGGCTCCGCCATGCGTGCAGGATACTCTCGGTAGCTTACCGGGCTCTCCGAGGGGGATGGAGGAATTGAACCCGGGTTGGCCGCATGCAAGGCAAATGCCCTACCCGCTGTTATCACTATGGTTATCAAACAGAGAAGGAAAGGGGAGAGGGTGAGAGAAGGGAGGAAATCTACTGGACTACTGTATAGAGATTTTGATACTTTGGAAGTAGGTGAGCTGTAGGAGCATTTATTCTGAAGAGGTGTGAAACTGTATCCTTAGAATGTACAGTCTCATGCACCAACCTCACTAAATAAAAAGAAATATAATAATAACATATATTAATTTATAATAAAGTGAAATATTATACTACATTACAATAAAATTACAACAAAATAAATCAGAAAACCAAAACCAGAGAAACAATAAAAACTATAATTTTTAAAAATAAGAATTATGGGGAAAATGCTCAAACAACTGAAAATATTTGATCTAATTAAGTAAAAAAGCAGCCCAATCAGAGCCACGAAATATTGAGGGAAAAACAAATGGCTCAAGTTTTCATTGTTCATGCATATTAGTTGCCTTACTTTACACAAAGACAGCTCATTCCAATGTTCTTACCCATATAGATAGGTGTGCCACACGTGGTCTGCAGCATGGATTCATTCCTACCATGCTTCCTCACTGCTAGGCCAAAGTCGGTTACCTAGAAGAAGAAACCCAATCATATTTTCCTGTACCAGAGCTCATTCATTTTGAGGGGAGGATTTCACCACACTGTAAATACATTTTAATGTAGGGGGGTTCCTAGAGAATGCAATGTTCCTGCTTTTTATTTGTATTACTAGTAACGATCTTGATTTCTCTTCTCACCTTCCTTTTTTTGTTTTTTTGTGAAATCAAAACTTAAAAGAAACCTGGTTTCTCAAATCCTGAGAAAACACCCATTATTCAGCAGTTCCACCAGGAAGCTGTATTTTGAAAGAAGACTTATATTTATTTTTTTTTTTAATGAAAAAATGCTTTAAAAAGTTCACCCATTCTACAATACATTCTGGACTAAGTATATTTAGTATCCTTATTTCTGATTCCTGAACTGTACTCCAGTGTAAAGCACTGATAGAAATGCAAATCATGGTCTTGATAGCATTCATTGAAACTTCCCACTTTTGTGATTATTTTTAAAACATTTTGGGGGCCCTAGATGGTACAGCGGTGAGGGCACCAGCCTATCTTGTATCTGGCCCATCTTGGATCCCAGCACCACCAGGTAATCTCTCCAGCATTGCCCGGTGCAGCCCTGGAGGCCCCCAATAGGGAACAGCCATGCAGCCTCAGGCTCTTGCATTGAACTCTTGCCTGTTTGGCCAGAACCGCTGGTGGGACTCCAACAAGAGTCTCTTGTTGGGAGGCTCCAACAAGAACAAAAACAGCAGCAGCAGCAGCAGCAACAACAAAATACTATTCCTGATAAATATCAACTTTACTATTATTTCTTTAGTGCTTCTAGAGTATCCTGATTAAAATAATTACTACACCATTAAAAACTCTGAGAAGCAAATGAATGGAAAACTAAATAAACAGTATAACTGCAAATACACTGGAGAGCGCCTGCTGCACTGCAGTCTTTGTGCTTAGTTCTAAATCTTGGTCATTAAACATGCGGTTATTAAATATTCAGCATGTGCCCTTGGTCTTATCTCCCAAGTTAGAACAGCCTTGGGCTGAAAGCAGAAAAACAGGCACACTTATTGATCATACAACCAAAAATAGTTTCTTGGGCCACAGACCCTGAGTGCAGAAATTCCAGTGTCTAATCAAATCAGAAAAACTATATATGTGTACATATATATATAATCAATATGTAGTATCACTGTCTAAATTGCTTAATCAATTTCATGAGAAAATTTCAAAATTATCACACTAGGAGCATTGTGATATATTAAATATTTACGTGTACTTACGTGTGTTTCTCCATAGGAAAATCTATACAGATATCAAATACACAAAAAGGTTTCATGGCCCATTTCAGTTCTGCAGAAAAAGCTTTTCTTTTTCATTCACTGATACTATTGTTATTTCTCCATGTGTGGATTGAACCTAGGGTCTCACACATGTTAGCATGTGCTGTACTACTGAGCTTTATCCCCAGGTCATTCACCAAATATTAAGTGAGCACATACTATGGTTCAGGTACTATTCCAGGTTATCAGCAATGAATAATACTTAAATAACTCCCACTCTCATAGCATTTACAATGAAACAATCTAAGGAGGTTTTTCTTGGGTAAAACAGCAATCTTGTTAAACCTCTCTTTATAAATTACACAGGGATTTAACTTCTGTAACAGCAAGTTATTCACAGACATTTTATTCCTAAATTAACACATTCATATATTTTGGAAGCAGCCACTATTAAAGTGCTAAGTAATAAATAATGTATCCTATCATTTATTTGACATTAAGGAACGGTTAATTTGAATAAAATCTTCAAGAATAAACACTTAGCACATTAATTGTGCGTAAGACATAAATATTAATACCCAGGAAAATTTTCAATGAGAAATACGGACTTTAGCACTAATTTAGAATCAAAAGCATAGCCAAGGAGGTGTGTTTTTCTCAAAATCTGTAACACATTTACATCAAATTACCAGGCATAATTTTGAAATTAATTAGAATTCAGAGCATCTGTTTGCTCCCTATTAACTAATGATTTAGAACTACCCAAATGGATATGTACTTTAAAAAAATTCAATAGAACCACTTAACTTGCAAAATTATTCTTGTCAGTTACACCTTTTGTGAAATTTTCAGTTTTTAAGCACAAGCACATTTTTCTGCTTGAACCTATCAAAATGTATCTTTATAAAGGATGCATTTTACTATAAAGCCATTTATAATCATTGAGCACGATTTCTAATATCTTACCTTTATGTTTAAATTCATTTCATTTTTATCATTAATATAGCTGCTTTTAACCATTATGTTTTCCAGTTTCAGATCTCTGTGTACTATATCTATCAAAAAAACAAATCAAATAGTGGGAACATACTTAAGAGATACAAATAGAAGTTATAAATATATTTGACAAATTAACGTTCAATGATGAAAAATTTAATGAGAGTAAGCACAATTCTGTCCTCTTCCATTCCTTTATATTTAAATCCCTTTTCTCCATGTTTCTAACCTTTAGGATTCATTTCTTAGGCTCCCTCATCACCCATTCTTCTGCTGCCCAATGGCTGCTCTTTATGCCAAGTGCCCTATCACTGTGGAAAATGAGTCTGTTCAAGGTTAGGTACTCCCAGGAGGAGGAATATGACTCAAGTTACTAGCCCAGAAAGGTTTTCTATATCCTTAGGTCTTCAAGGAAGGAACTGCTTTTTTTAATGTAAAACAATGCCTACAGAAACATTTAACATACTGCAACTTGGTTACAAATTGGATCTATTTCAGTATATTTTTCTACAACCTCAGCTGTACACTTTCCAACTCCGTATGTTGAAAGAAAAAAAAAACAAACAAATCTTGTTGTTGAATCTCCAGTTGAATAGGTTAATGTCAGGTAGGATTTTATATACATGCAAATTATCATGCACCAAACACTTCTTTTGCAAATAACTGTTCAGTTTATATCCATAATACTATTTCCCTAGGCTTAAAAAGTTATATGTATAATTGCTGGGGAAAATGCATTTGAATGAGCCCTGGACTGCCAATTATACCTTAGCCATTTATAGTCCCCAGCCTTTGTTGTCAGAATTTTTATTGTTTTTATTGCTCTTTTTCTTACAGAAATACCACACAATTTTAATTCATATATTTTTATAATATTTTTGACCTCAAGCAGGGTGAGTCTCCCTGCTGCCTCCACTGTTCTTCTTTTCCACTGTTTTATTTGTCATTCCCACTCCTGCTGGAATAATCTTATTAAGTTCTATGAAAAATTATGTTAAGATTGTATTTGGAAATATACTTAATTTATAGCTTACTAAGGAGAAGTGATGGCATAATTAAACTTGGTTTCTCACCCTTGCAAAAACTGTTCCTTCTACATGGAAGGTCTGTCTCTTTATTGATCCCAGTTTGTATTCCTAAGCTCAAAATTTTGCTTCCCCTGTGAATTCTTTTTTGGTCCTCCAAGCCAAATGATGCACTTGCACTACCATGCTCCTTGAACTTTATATGTTTCTCCACTGGAGAAATTATCACATTGAATTACAATGTTTTCTATATTCAGCCTCCCACCAGTCTCATCTATTAATCTTTGTTACTCTAGGACCAACCATACAGTAGGAATTTCGGAAATATCTGTTGAATTGGTTCTAGAGCTAGCTCTGTCATATCCAATCATTTGATTTCACCTCTTTGGAACAAGTTTATTCTTACCTGTAAGGTGAGATGGTTCTAAAGTTACATATAAACCAACCTCACCTTGAAAGACAAAGAGAAGTACGAAGAAAACCAACAAAAGTAATACCAAGAAAGAGTAATTAGTACAGTAAGAAACATTTTAAATGTGGATTTTAACACAGTGAAACTATCTGATTTTAATGACGAATATATGTTATCAATTTAAAAACCATAGAATGAGCACTAACAACATAACGTCCTAATGTAAACTATGGGAGCTGGGTGACAATGATATACTAACATCAGCTGCAACCAATGTTTCACTCTAGGAAATGCTGATCATGGAGAGGTTTTATGTGAGTAGGGACAGATGTATGTGGCAAAATCTCTAGATTAGCCATCCAATTTTGTTATACTAACACATCTCTAAAACTAACTCTTAAAAATAATACACAAATTCTTTGGCTACATAAATTTGGGGATTTGGGATGCAAGGCAAGTGCCTTACCCACTGTACTATCATCCGGACCCTGCCCCCCACCATTTTACTTTTATTATTGTTTACTTTTGATTTAATAACGATAGGTGCTTTAGATACAAACTGTTGACTAGTACTATGTATTATTTTTCTATGTACAATGCACCTGTCAACTTGCTTCATTTTAAGTTTAAATATATATCTACAGTACTTTAATTTTTAAACGTTTTTAAAAAGAATAAAAATATTCTATAATGGTAAACATAATCTATATTTATGTGACTATGAATACTGAGTACAATTAGCCTTTAGACAAAAGTAATATCTGCATGCAAGAATTCAGTGAGCTGAACTTGATAAGCCTTTTCTTACCATTACTGTGCAGATATGCAATAGCTGATGCAAGACTTTGAATGATCCGCTTGGTCTCATTCTCAGAGAAATGCCCCTTTTTATTCAGAATTTCTTTGAGTTCTCCATCCTCACAAAGCTCCATCACAAGGTACATTTCCTTAAAATTATAAATTTAAAGAGAGAACGATTTATATAGTTGGTATCTTTAAAATGTCCTATAGCATAAACACATGTGTGTACATGTACAGAGAGCAGGAAAATTGTCAGTCAATCACCAACCCCGTCACTCAAAAATATGTATTATCAAATACAAGATAGAGTGGAGGACTGTAGAGGAATAAAGAGCAGCAAAACATAGTCTTTCCACTCCAAGAGCTCACAGATCCGTCATCATTTAATATCATGTGATGTAAGATGCATATCCCCAGTGCAGGAGGTTATACAGGAAGGGGACCTTTACTGCAGAAATGCTCCCTGAAGCAGCAACATAAAAGGTAGGTCTGAGTGCCCGAACTGGGATTATGTATGTAGGCAAGAAGAGAAATAACACATGCTATTTTCAGGCTTGGGATCTTGGTAATATCTCTTAAGAGTAACAAATCTGTTGGTGTTAATAGCACTGGAAGGTTGATAGGGCAGGAAAGAGCACAAGTGGCAAGGGGAAAGGCTAGACAGACAAGAGCTATCTAACCTTGGGTGCCAGGTCGTAAAGCACCGTTGCAAAATTTTTTTTTGTATTTTCTTCCTGTGTGCAATAAAGAAGCCGCTAAATATTTTTGGGCTAGTGCCTGGAATATGTGTATGTGGTGGGGCGACATAGGATGGAGATGTGGGGGAGAGTAGGGCTCTGGGGGGAGGTGTGTGCTCTTATTAATGCTCCATTTCTAAATGAACATTCTAAAAATAGCTAGAACCAAAGGTAAAGGTAAGGTAAAGGCCCTCCCGTTGATCATCGATTTGCTCGAGCGGGCCCAGTAACGTCTCCATTGGAGAATTTGTTGTTACTGTGTCTGGCATATCGAATACTCTCGGTAGCTTGCCGGGCTCTCCAAGAGGGGCGGAGGAATCGAACTCGGGTGGGCCATGTTGGCCGCTTGTAAGGCGAACGCCCTACCCGCTGTGCTATCGCTCCAGCCCTAGAGCGTGTTGTATGAAAGGAGAGAAGGTTAGCACTCCCCTTGACAAGGATGGAAGAGGCTTCGGCCTGCAACACGCATACGGTTAGAACCAAAGAAATTTAATAATTATGACTTTGCAGGTCATTCAGTCTTATTAGCAACTATTTAACCAATTCTTATAACATGAAAGCACTCATAAAAAAACCATAAAAAATTATTATGAATTTTTATCTGAGGGGATTGTTTTTTAAAACAAAGATACTCATTATCAATTTTTGAAACTTTTATACATATATGATTACTGGTAGACTTTTACAAACATCTTTGAGGGGTTAAGGAGGGAAATGGAGTGCTGGGGATAGAATGCAGGACCTGATACATGCAAGGTTTGTTCTCTATAACTGAATCCTTGGCCAGGTCCTTCTTCTTTAAAGTATCTATAGAGATTCATAGGAATTATCAGATTTGATGATTTTAGTTATTTCCTAAGAGGCAAATGTCATGAGCAAATTCTCAAAAGTGAGAAATTCAAACCCTTAAAAAAAATGGGGAGAAGAGATGAACAGAAAATTCCTCAAAGAAGAAACACAAATGAAAAGAAAGGTATATGGAATGATGCAGTTTATCATGAATCATCATGAAAATGCAAATCAAAACAACAAGATATCACCTCGCACCACAGAGATTGGCACTCATCAAAAAGAACAACAAGGCAAGGCGAGGATGTGGCAGAAAAGGGACCCTCACTTACTGCTGGTGGGAATATAGATTGGTTCAGCCCTTTTGGAACTCAATATGGACATTTCTCAAAGAAGTAGGAAGGGATCTTTCAAATGACCCAGCAATTTAACCCCTGGGAATGTACCCTAAGGACCTAAAAAATGGGGGACCTAAAAGCACAATACAGACAAGACATCTGCGTTCTTATGTTTATTGCCCCCTCCTGACCCCGCTCCTGGCTGTCCTCACCGGGGCCCATGGAGGGGGACGGGTTGAGTTTCCCTCCCCTCCCCGACCAGAGCTCCGGCAGCCGAAGACTTCCAGAACCAGTCACCACCATGCTGAGACCACTCTCCACATGCATGAAGGTACCGGCAGAGGAACAAAGGCATGTGGGTCCCAGGGCTGAGATCTCCAAGCCTGCTCAGATTGGGGCTGAGCATCCTCCACCCTGATCCTCTACCTTCCAGTAGGCAGGGGTCACACCCACCAACTGGCCCCCTGGTGCCATGTAATCCCATCAACGGCCAAGATCCAGAGACCATAAAACCCAGCTCCCGGAATCACACGGCCGCAAATGCGGCCACGCAACATCTTATCTCATTCTTGATCACTTGATCACTTGACTTCCCGTTAATCGTCAATTTGCTCGAGCGGGCGCCAGTAACATCTCCATTTGTCCCTGTCGTGTGCTAGAGTAGCCCAATGGCATCTGTTCGCTCTAGGAACACAAAGAGCCTCAAACCAATCGTTCATGATCTTGATGAAGAAGTCTGACCATCTGGTAGGTGCGTGGCCACGTGGTCTTTGGATGTCCCATGGAATCCAGTCAGTAACAGCTCTAGTTCAGCGGTCATCTTTAAATCTCATTACGTGACCAGCCCACCTAATTTTTGACACCTTGGCAAACAAGACAGCGTTCCTGATTCTTGATCGTTGACGGAGGTCGGAACTCCGGATTCTTTCTTTCATTTGAGTGAAACGTGATATTCCAAGCATAGCTCTTTCAATTCCACTTTGGGAGACCCGAATAGCATTCTCATTCTGTTTGCATAGGGCCCAGGTCTCTGAGGCGTATGATAATGCAGGAAGAACAATGGAATCAAAGAGATGTGCCCAGAGCGGAGGTTCTTCGTCTTCTTAGCTATTTCTTCAACGCTCTTGAAGGCATTCCAAGCCACTCTCTTCCTCCTGTGCAGCTCGGATGTCGGGTCATTTGTCATGTTGACTTGTTGACTTAGGTACACATAACTGTTGCATTCGGAGATGGTCGTTCCGTTAAGAGTGAATGGAGCGTCAGGAACGAGGCTGTTTCTCATAAACATTGTCTTCATAAGATTCAGCTGTAGTCCTACCTTTCCACACTCACGGTCAAAGTCGGCCAGCATTTGTGCCGCTTGGCTGATCTTTGGTGTTATTAAAACAATGTCATCAACAAAGTAGAGGTGGTGTAGTTGCCGACCATCTATCTTCACTCCCATTCCTTCCCATTCCAGTCATCGCATGATGTTCTCAAAGGTGTCACTGAAGAGTTTCGGTGAAATGGTATCACCCTGCCGAACTCCTCTCTTGACATCAATGATTACTGCTTTGTAGAATGGTGAAATCCTGGTAGTGAATCCATAATACAGCTCACGGAGGATCTTGATGTATTGAGTTTGAATGCCCTGATTGGCTAGGGCTTCAATGACTGCTTCCGTCTCAACAGAATCAAAGGCCTTCTTTAAATCAATGAACGTTAGACAGAGCGGCATCTTGAACTCCCGAGAAACCTCGATGAGCTTGGTTATCGTGTGGATATGGTCGATGGTGCTGAATCCTTTGCGGAACCCAGCTTGCTCACATGGCTGTCCTTCATCTAGTGTTCTGCCAATCCTATTAAGGATGACTCGAGTGAACAGCTTGTAGACGACAGACAATAGGCAGATCGGGCAATAGTTGCCAATGTCATGGATGTCTCCCTTCTTGTACAGTAGTACAGTCCTGCTGGTTTTCCATTGGGATGGAACCTTGCATTCAGACAGGTAGTGTGTGAAGAGCCGAGCCAGCATATTGATGAGTACTGACAGCAGGTTCTTCAGGTGTTCAGGTCTGACCTTGTCTGGGCCAGGTGCTGTTTGTTTCTTTACTGAGGAAATGGCGTGTCGGATTTCGGAAGGGAGAACATTGGGAATGACATATCCATCCTGTGGAATTTGGTATGTCGGCAGGTGGACATGGCTATCGAAGAGATTTGAGTAGAAGTCATGGATAATCTTCTCCATTGCCCTTCTGGAAGATGTGATAGATCCATCAGGACGTTGGAGGGCAGTCATCTTGGTCTTCTAGTTGGTGAAGGACAGGTGGGCATTACAAATACTTTTCTCAGCTTCTGCCACATCTACCAGCACTTCTGCTCTTCTCTCTTTGAGGTTTTCCTTGATCGCATCTCTGCACTGCTTTGTGAGCTCGGACGTTCGCTTGCGGATGCCTGAGGTATGCACCAAACCACATTGGCAAATAAGCTCAAGAGTTTTCGAAGACAGGTGGTTTTTTTTTTTTGTGGTTATCTTTCTCTTGGCATTCCTCGCACAATCATGGAGGTGCTGAACTAGTTGATCATATTCCTCGTCAATGTTGTCAACATTGGCATCTCCCCATGTTGCCGCAACAGTGCCAAAGAGCTCCCAGTTGGAGGTCGTTCTGGGAGTTCTCTTTTTAAACTTTGCAGCCCTCTCTCCCCGCTCTGTGAAGTAGAATTTTGCACGAAGGAGAAGGTGGTCTGATCCCATTTGGAATTTTGCGACAACAGCGACATCAGTCAGGCAAAACCATCAATTGAATATGATGTGGTCTATTTCAATGTGGAATCATCCATCGGGAGACTCCCATGTCCAAAATTTAGATTTAGCCTTCTGGAATCTTGAGTTACCATGCATGGTCTTGGTCGAAATGATGAACTCAGACAATCTCTCACGCTATTCATTCCATTCTAGGCCATGGGTCCCGATGTGAAGTTCTTCGGCTGATCTTCTCGGTCCTATCTTGGCATTAAAATCACCCACAATGATCCTTTAGAAGGTGTGGTTTTCTTTTAGAACTTCTCCAGCTCCATGTAGAACTTCTCAATTTCTCCTTCATCATAACTGGATGTTGGTGCATAGACAAGGAAGATAGAAACTGTCAGCAGTGAGCCACATCTATTCAAATGTAAACGTCCATTTCCGGTTGTTAGGCATTTGAATGAATCAATGCTCATGGCCACATTTGTGTTGACAAGGACACCTATGCCTCCGACACCTCTTTTGTCGCATGTTCCAAGGAACAATTCTTTTCCAGT